GGAGATATGATGGAGTGCCGGAGAATTCCTGCGGAGAAAGGGAATTACTATTCGACAGGTGAATTTCATGGAGTAATAGTATCTGGATTTCCAATCTCATGCGATGTCAAGAGGACATTTTTCTCTTTTCCATATCAGTAAAACATTTCATCGACATCACTACTAAAACAGAAAACACAATATAACTCACAAATCAAGGGAAAGGTCCGAGCATATGAGTGAACTGGGTACTCAAGAACATCAGAAAGGGTTCACCCTTTTCCACTTTGCTTTAGTGTGAGTTGCCCGATTCACCATCAGTGTCCCAGAGTTCATGCTGCCAATGGGATAAAAAAACAAAACAAACTCACATTGATTAAATTACAGGGAGTTCTGCTGTTCAGCACTATGCGCCAAACTATCTGATCACTTAAAATGTCTTGTTGGCAGGTGAGATAAATAGAAATTTATACTGAAAGAAAAAAAGACAACACTCCCATTCCTTGCACTGCAATAAATCCAACACACACCAAAAAAACTTCAGGCCTGCCCTGAGTCTGTGTTTTATCTGCGACACACTTTACCTGACTGCTAAAACCTATTGAACAAGTGTTAAATATCGCTAACTATGTATAACCTATATAGTGGAATTATTTTTGGCTATATTTTTGGGAGTAGCTGCACAGACATTATTTTGTAATACAATGGAAGCTTTATGCAAGAGCTTCCAGCTCCCTATAGAGTTTGACCACTTACACTGGTTTGGCACCATGGCACTCGTGGGATCATAACCACTACAGCGTTCTGTAGTGATTATGGTGTCTGGACTGTTCCTTTTATGGAGATTAAACAAAGAGTATATTTAACACTTTTCCTGCGTCCAGCTTGGTGTACGATAAAATGTGGCTCCTGTTGCCTTCTGTCCATGACTGTTTACTGCTGTCTGACCAAGGACCCTACATGGAAGTCTGTAGCACCACTTCAAACAAAGGTATTGCTAGGTTTATTTTTAAAAAGGACAAATAACATCCCTATCAGGTAGAAATGCTTTTTATTGTCTTATATTATGGTTGTATTATCATACTTCCAAAGTATACTACTATGGAGCTTGTCCATGCTCTAGTAATCTCTTGCATGGATTATTGTAACCCTCTCCTAATTGGTCTTCTCAGAAGCTGCATTGCCCCTCTACAGTCTGTAATGAATGCTGCCGCCAGATTGATTTTCCTCTTCAGTCTCTCCTCTCACACCTCACCCCTCTGTCAGTCCTTACATTGGGTTCCTGTATCCTATAGGAGTCAATTCAAAGTACTAATCCACACCTATAAAGCACTGAACAATTCTTGCTCCTTCTATATCTCTTCACTGATCCATAAGTATGCCCCTTCTCGGTCTCTCTACTCTGCCCGTGACCTTCTCCTGTCTGCTACTCGCACCTGTATGCCCAACTCACACTTGCAGGACTTCTTGCGGGCTGCTCACTACTTTGGAATAGCCTGCCTCCTGCTATCAGACTCTCCCCTAGTCTTCAATCATTTAAAAAGTACCTTAAAACCCACCTACTCAGGAAAGCTTATGGTCTCTCAGAGTAACCTCTACCTCACATACCTGTCCCTTACTCTCTCCTAAAGGGTAGCACTCTACTCTCTTCTCCTGCCTCACTCCAACATTGTTTGATTGCTATCTCCTGTCCTACCTTAGTTTATACCCCACCTCTATACTGTAAGCTCCTTTGAGCAGGGTGCTCTTCAGCCTATTGTTTCTCTAAGTAATTGTCTCATTTATTGTTAAATCTCTCCATTCTACAATATAGTAAAGTGCCACGGCATTTGTTGGCACTAAATAAATGCCAATAATAATAATAAAAATAACAATAGGAGGGACAGTCCCTGTTGTGGGCCCAAATCCTTTTGTCTCACATTTCTATCTTGATTTTCCCTTTTTTGAGCAGCTCCATGTTGTTGGTGTGTCTGAGTGTATAACAGAGCTGCACATCAATAAATGTTTTTAGAAATTAATCTGTGTAAATATGATACATTGTTTTTAAGATACATTGTTCTAAATTACATTTTTTTAACCTAAATTGCTATTAGTCAATCACCTAAAATTTCCCATTACAGCTTCACCCTGGCTACAACAGCACGTACACCCCGAAATTTAAAGTGTGGCTCCTGTTGCCTTCTTTAAAGTGTCCCTCTTTGTCCATGTGAAATGTTGGAAGGTATATATTATGTTGACAGTGTTAAATGGACCCATCATTTTAGGTTTCTTCAATGCAGTAAGTAAAGCCTGCCATTTGTAGTCAGATTTTTTTTATACAAATAAACAAAAAAACTGAATAAAATCTGTTTTGATAGATGTAAAGTTCAGCATTCATAAGTTTTTGTGGGTTTTTTTTTTACAACATCTGCTTCTGTGTTGATTAGAAGCTCTGGATTTGGTTCACCTCTGGGTCCGTACTGAAGAGCGACTTGTTTTAATATTAATCTGTAATAAAAATTTCACCTGCAGTTTTCAGGGTTAGACAGAGCCAGATTGTTCAATTATACATCTGAGGAAAGTGGAATGCAAATTTAATTCTAAGTGAGATATCCTATTATTAATGTTAAACTGATGTAAGTGTTTCTTCATCCCTGAAATATTAACAAAGAGAAATAGCAACTCTGTTTATTCTGTGTAAAAATATGTTAAAGTTAATCAGATATGAAAACCAAGCAATTGTGGTAGTCCAGGAGTCCAAAAGAGAGGGACTGGTAAGCAACCATCAATAATATGTTGTCAAACTACACTTCCTGAAAGGGGGTAACCCTGATGAAGAATATCAGAAAAATGCATTTCTGGGCCTAACAGATAGGAAGCACCAGAAAACTGAGACAAGTCACCAATTAAAAATAAAACCTAACTTTTATTAGAATCTAAGGACAATAAAAACTTAAGTGTATCTGTGTAACCAATATATATATATATATATATATATATATATATATATATATATATATACAGAAACCAAGAGATAGGGAAAAGACATAGGATATATTGGTGTCCACAACCCAATAAACTTAACAAAACAGTATCCACTCAAAAAGATAGGGGTCATTAACTCCCTAGAATTCCCTATTTACCTCGGCACACCGACGACTGTCTGTTAACACTGAAAGACTTAGTCAATTTTCCAAAGTACCATGAGGAAAAAATAATATCCCCTGCTGATTTTGAATGTTTGCCCACTGACAAAGATATGATCAGTCTATAATTTTAATGGTAGGTGTATTTTAACAGTGAGAGACAGAATAACAAAAACAAAATCCAGAAAAACGCATGTCAAAAAAGTTATAAATTGATTTGCATGTCAATGAGTGAAATAAGTATTTGACCCCTTCAACTTAGGAATGGGTGGCAATCAAAGAGGTTCAGACTTGTAGTTCTTGTCGTTGGCCACCAGGTCTGCACACATCACAGGAGGGATTTTGTCCAACTCCTCTTCGCAGATCCTACACAAGGCTGGAATGGGCTACAAGACTATCACCAAGCAGCTTGGTAAGAAGGTGACAACAGTTGGTGTGATTATTCTCAAATGGAAGAAACACAAAATAACTGTCAGTCTCCCTCGGTCTGGTGCTCCATGCAAGATCTCAATCTGCCAGACCAGTTTAAACTAGTTGCTTTGTCCCTCCTCAATCACCCATTAGCACTTGCAATTGTTTTACCCCACCCTTCCTTGTACTATAGTGCTTTATGCACCATTGTATGTAAATGAGTCTGTTGGGGGCTTAAAAAAGGTGTGCTATGTCTATTAAAGGTAGTTGCTGTTTTAACCTTCACCAAGTGTCGTCTGGTGTTTGGTCCAGGGTGGAAAAGGCCCTCAGTGATCCCAGTCAAGCCTGGTCTGAAGTGCTCCAGGGTCCCTGATAGCTACGAGGAAGCGGACTTGGCGGAAGTACTCGGTTGGAGTACTGGAGCTCCGTCACACTACCTTCTTCTAAAATCACTATGAATAGAAAATAGATCAGGAAACTACACCGCATGGATTTGGTCCGACATTGAGTTATCATCTCTCTTCCATACAGCTCATATTTCCAGAACCTTTTTAATATGTCTGGATTCACTTGCTTCTCTCACTGTTGGGCATTTATCCCTCTTTTCGTGCTCATTCGGTACGGGAAGTGTTGATGACTTTTGAATCAGGCAGCTTGACCATTTTTGGCTTTGGCTGATTGGTCCTGGTAATCTATTTTGAACACCTCTTACTTTCATCCTCTGGCTCATGCTTCCTTTGCTATTCAGCCCCCTGTTTGGATTAAAATTGGAGATTACACTGGGGCATAGTGAGAAACTTTATTTGTGCCAAATAATATTTCCCAAAGTTACTGTAACATATTCATCCTCACCTTGTGGTATCTGCGCTCAGCAGCCATGCATCAGTGTACCTGACTCCTGCGACATGCTGATAGACGCCGGCCACTGCGGATCCACGCCTAATTATAACCCCACGTCCGCCCATGGTTATGACAACGTCAGCATGCGGGAGACGTCATGTGGGAGACACACTCGCACGTTCTGGGGTCAAAGACCGATTTTGGCCAATCAGAAATGTTAAAGGCTTATTTAAACTAATTTCTCCTTTCACTCTTTGCCCTGTCGTGGTTTCCCTAGTAGTTGTCCAAGAGTGTGTTTCTGAACGTTATTTTCTGGTTATTGACTTTGACTTCGTTTGACTTCCCTGAAATTTGTCCAGGTATTGGGTCAGCTTGGCTGCATTTTGATTTGGGAACAGAATCTGAAGAACAAAAACCAAAAAAAGCCCAACAAAGGGCCTATTAGTATGCTGCAAAATATATACATACTATCAAAGTCAAAACTAACTAATAGAGATAAAAACAGGGGGAAAACATAAAAAAAATGATTTATGTGCTCCTCCTGTTTCCTTCCATTGTTTACTTCTCACTTGATCTGTGAAAATAAAATTAAAAAGCACTAAAACGCTGATAAAACAGTCCAAAATGGGAAGAAACAAATGGCTGATGTCCCCAGGCACCTCTGGTGCTAGCTCACCAAGATCACAAACAGGCCCGATGGATGACTTTCTAACAACCACGGACAGCCAGCGGGGACTGCGGCACATAGACAAAATGGCACCTACATCTCCAGATGCCAACAGTGCCGCAGACTCTGCCCAAGGCCTGATGAAAGATGCAGCCCTGGCTCAGATATCCACAGAACTGGCAGCCATATCGGCAAACATGTTCACCCGCAGCGATAGGCGAGACATGATCACAGAGCTCCGGGCGGTCGTGAGAGAAGAAATCCAGGGAGTCCACAGAGACCTTGCCACCCTGGAACACAGAGTTGAAGAAATGGAGGCTGAAAGCCAACACACAACCCTACACCAGCAGAAAGCTGTGCTGGCCACCACACGGCAGGGATCAATGATCATGGAGCTGAGACACCAAGTTGAAGACCTCGACAACCGCAGCACGTGGAACAACGTGCGGATCCAAGTCCTGCCGAAGTCAGAGGCCGAGTCCCTGCAGGAGGTACTCACTGGCCTATTCACCCAGCTATTGTGGGGGGGCAGCTCCAGCTGGCTTTGAACTTGAACATGCCCAGAGAGCACTAAGGCCGCCATGGCAAGATGGCCTGCCATGCAATGTTATTTGCTGTTAAATGTGGCCATTGCTGTTTTTGTTGGGTGGGGGGAGGGTGATGCCCAAGAGGGAGGGCGAGGCTCCGAGAGTCCTGTGACAGCATGGGAGGGAAGGGAACACACACAAGTCTGACTTACTGTAGAAGAGGGGAGACGCGAGGTCACCCGGGCGGCAGTTGACAGCAGAGAGGGGGAATGGAAGAGGCCTTGGACTGGTGGCAGCAGGGGTTAACTGTGCTGGTGGGTCTGGGGTGACCGGAGACCTGGGGTGCCCTCTGACACAAGCCACAAGAAAGACGGACAGACGTGGGCAGACGGCACATGATACCAAGGCTTCGGTGGGAACACTTAGGACTCACTGATCCGCACACACCAATTCCGGTTGACAGGACCGCACAAACCACCTCAAACACTATAACAAGATAACATAAAGATAACACGATCCCATGGGTACACCTGACAAACATTAGCGCTATGGCTCTGGACCAACAACGCCAACTGTGCAAATGTGCGAAAACAGATCCAGATTTACTGGGAAATAAAGCTAACAAGACGACCTTCAAGAGGCGCTGGGAAGAACAACTCGATAAAACATTCACAGATGCGCAGTGGGAAAAAATCTTAATCCTGCAACACAAAAGCTCAGGCTGCTCCCGATACCAAGAAACCAACTATAACTTGTTATCAGCATGGTACCGAACCCCATCCTTCCTGCACTGGATTTTCCCAGGAGTATCGAACCTCTGCTGGAGATGGGGCCTCGCAGAGGGGATGGTCAAACACATATGGTGGACCTGCCCCAAGATTACCCTATATTGGGAGATGGTCCAGACCACAACGACTGAGATCTTTGGAGAGCCACAACAATTAAACTTGGAACTAGCCTTGTTGCACCTAACTCCCTTGTCGATTTCAAAATTCCAAAAATCTATACCTAGACACTAGCTATGTGGAGGCAGACAGACACCCCCACAAAAGAAAATTGGCTGCAGCGAGTTGAGGAAATACAAACGGCAGAATTGACTGAGGCAGCACTACTAGGAACCAGCGACAAACACGCCGAATGCTGGATGCCGTGGTTTTCCTACATATCTAAGGAGGGGAGAGCTGTTTCACATCGCAATGGAATGGGGGTTACTTAGGGGCCCGGAGGCACGCAATGCGTTGGGTAGGGAGCACTCACTACCTACATCCCCTGTCCTCCATTCCCTCCCTACAATTTAAGCCTTCTCTACCTCTCGCTCACCCTCCTGAAATCCCTCCTCCACACCTACTCCTTCTGCCTATCAATAAACCCACAACGGGGGACTACTAACACCATAGCAAGATAAGCTCCAGAGCGCACACTGCCAGCCTCGGGGGGCCCTGAGGGGGCCAGCTCCTGGGCCCCCCAGGAGAAGGTACATACCCGGTCGCAGGGCAGCCAAGCCCCCTGATTGGCCGGGCCTGGTCGCAGCTGCGACCCCTGTGACCGCGGGATGTACGCCAGTGCGCACACGTACATATAATGGGAATGACAAACAGAATGGAAACAACTGCTCCAAACACTTAGGGAAACTCCATGGTAGATACATTAGCCAAGGAGAATGATGTCACCCTCTAAGGTGAAAACCCACTAACACAGATCCCCATTCCCCAAGGGAATGTGAACTGAGATCCACATACCCTACAATCACACACTACACCGAGGGTAGATCCCGGGTCTAGTATTCACGTCAAGCATCATAGGCACACGAAGCACTCTGCTCCAACCAAGATCCACATCGCTATCACGGCCAAATATGACCCAGAATACAAGCAACGATGATATATAGGCCTCAGACCTACGACAGGGCCAACACCCAACTCAGTACTGCAGTAATAGCTTTCCCTACGATCAGTCCCTTCCTAAAGACCCCACGCCCACTCTTTCTTTACCTACCATATGAACCTGCACAAAGACAACACAATCAACTTAGTAAAATAATAGGGGTCCAGGCCCTCCTTGGTTCAAGACAGGCACTTTATTAAGAACCACAACAGCAACGTTTCGACCCCAAAAGGGACCTTTTGGGGTCGAAACGTTGCTGTTGTAGTTCTCAATAAAGTTCCTGTCTTGAACCAAGGAGGGCCTGGACCCCTATTATTTTACTAATGTTTGGAAATCTGGTGTTTGATTCCAGCCCAGTAAGCACCCTGGCTCAGATTTGTGGGAGTGAGTGCAGTTCCACATATACTATTCAACACAATCAACTTAGACACAAACATTACTACCAGAACACAGCTCACCTATGCACAATGCTTAGACGTAACATAGACTCAATACTCCAACAACCCATAGGCTATCAACCTACCTAGGCATCTAGAATAAACATGACGGTAAATGTCCCTGAACACCTCACAGTTAAGATTGATCAATACGGATCTTACTATGCTTTAAAAGTGATTACTCTCTCACCTACTTTGCGACGTGCGTGTCATATCTCTAACTGTTCAACTGGAGATCTGCGCATCTCATTTTATCAAATTATATGTTTCATAACCGAGACCTGCGTGTCTCGCCATCTATCTTACCTATCCTATTCTTCTTATATCTAACTTACCGTATATACTCAAGTATAAGTCGACCCGAATATAAGCAGAGGCCCCTAATTTTACCACAAAAAAACTGGGAAAACTTATTGACTCAAGTATAAGCCGAGGATGGGAAATGCAGCAGCTACTGGTAAATTTCTAAATAAAATTAGATCCCAATAAAATTACATTAATTGAATATTTATTTACAGTGTGTGTATATAATGAATGCAGTGTGTGTGTTTGTGTTTGTGTGTGTATATAATGAATGCAGTGTGTGTCTATAATGCAGTATGTGTTTGTGTGAATGCAGTGTGTGTATATAATGCAGTGTGTGTTTGTGTGAATGCAGTGTGTGTATATAATGCAGTGTGTGTGAATGCAGTGTGTGTGTGTTTGTGTAGTGTGTGTAAACTGGGTGAGGGGAGGGCATTTTTATAATTTAAATTTTTTAATTTTAATATTATTATTATTATTATATTTGAATATTATTATTTTATTTGAATATTATTATTTTATTTTAATATTTGTATTTTTATTTTTTTTTATTTTTTTTGTACCTCTCCCTGCTTGTTGCCTGGCCAGGGAGGGGGGCTATGTTAATCCCTGGTGGTCCAGTGGATGGGCTGTGCAGTGGGGGGGGGGCTGGCAGAGTGCTGTTACTTACCTTCCTGCAGCTCCTGTCAGCTCCCTTCTCCTCCGTGCAGCTCCCCTGTCAGCTCCGTTCTGCTTACAGTGTAAGTCTTGCGGTCTGCGTGCCACGAGGAGCGTTGCCACGGTAACCCGTGGCAACGCTCTGACGGCCGCGGATGTCACGAGACTTACACTGTAAGCAGAACGGAGCTGACAGGGGAGCTGCACGGAGGATGCAACCATAATACAGACAGTGAGTCGAGTATAAGCCAAGTGGGGATTTTTCAGCACAAAAAATGTGCCGTAAAATTCGGCTTATACTCGAGTATATACGGTACTTTGAATAAAAAGATATTTACAAAAAAATAATAATAATGGGATAGTGTATACATACAAAATACTAAAAAATAACACAATTTTGCTACAATTTTTGTAGAAATTGTCATTGAAATGACTATGTAAAATATGTAAAAATATGATGCCTACTTTATTTACATATATACTTTTGTTTCCTGTGAAATTTTATTTACTCAGAACAAATAAATGAACGTTAACGTTACTTTTCTTTACCTGTACTAATTATTTACATATTATTGCCAAAACTGTGAAAATGTGTATCTTTTGTATTTTATAATAAATTAGAATTTATATACGTGTGTGTCAAATCAAATTGAAGCACCTTTTATCCTTTAAAAACATTATATAATATGTGTCACTGCAATACATGAGAAAGATGGAATTTGCAGTTGAACACATAGAGAAAAATTCCAAAAATGTTTGTGTCCTTAAGTACAATACAAACTGAAGCTTTGTCACTAAGGGGTTAAATCAGAACTCAGTAAATTATTCATATCTATCTTTTATACTTATTATAAAGAACAAATACAACATTAAGGAATGAATGTACTTTAGAGCCAGAGGCGGCTGGTGACATTTCAAGTTGCTCTGGTGCTAGACTGGACACATGGATTTGACTAAATGCTTTTGATCTGTGATGGTGAGAGGGAGGGGGTGATAATGAGAGGGAGGGGGTGATAGTGTGAGGGAGGAGGGTGATGGTAAGAGGGAGGGGGGTCATAATGAGAGGGAGGGTTGATGATGAGAGCGAGGAGGGTGATGGTGTGATGGAGGAAGGTGATGGTGAGAGCAGGGGGTCATAATGAGAGGGGTTGATGATGAGAGGGGTGATGTGGTGTGAGGGAGGGTGATGGTAGAAGGAGGGGTCATAATGAGAGCGAGAGAGAGCGAGGATAAGAGGGGGTGATGGTGTGAGGATGGGGTGATGGTGTGAGGGAGGAGGGTGATGGTGAGAAGAAGGGGGTTAATGAGGGGGTTGATGATGAGAGGGAGGGTGGGTGATGGTGTGAGGGAGGGAGATGATGGTGTGAGGGAGGGGGTGATGGTGTGAGGGTGATGGTGTGAGGGGGTGATGGTGAGAGGGAGGGGTCATAATGAGAGGGGGTTGATGATGAGAGGGAGGGGGTGATGGTGTGAGGAGGGTGATGGTGAGAGGGAGGGGAGTGATGGTCAGAGAGAGGGGGGGTGATGGTGAGAGGGAGGAGGGTGATGATGAGGTGGAGAGGTGATGAGGAGTTGGATGGGGGTGATGATGAGATGGAGGAGGGTGATGAGAGGGAGGGTGATGGTGAGAGGGAGGGGGGTGATGATGAGAGGGAGGGGGTGATGGTGTGGTGGAGGGGGGATGATGAGAGGGAGGGGGGTCCTCGGTCAGTGACCCAGGACCCGACACAGTCTGCTCCA